CAAACTCAACTGTTGTGGCTGGAAGACTACAAAGAGAACTCAGGTTTCCATCCAAACTTCAAAACCACAAGCTAGAAACCCATAAGGTTCTCTACTGTGTGGCAGCTGGAGAAAGGCACAAACCCCAAGGCTTGTACCAGTCTGAAGCACCAAGATCCAGGAAGGTGGGGGGGAAGGGAGGAAGCCTCATCAGTCCAAATTACGGCACTGCGCACCATTCAAACCTATATTTGCTATCTTCCTGGACTGCCTCATGGTTGTCTCATTCTTGCTGGAGTCAAAAAGCAGGTGTTCAGGAAACAGACCCTGGCTCCTCCTAGCAATTCCACCATCTGGGTGGGACTGGCGTATCGGGGGGCGGGGAGGTTTTGCAAGGCTTTAGGTAGCTCCTTCCTCCCTTCACTCATCTCTAAAACGGATCTAAGTAACAGGCAGGCAAGGTAAGCCACCAGTTTAGAAGAAAAGACCACCACACACACACACACCTTACCTGCTTGGTTTCAAAGTTGACAAAACAGTATCCCCTCGGCTGCCCTTCCAGAGCACCAGACTTATGGAAGAGGAAGTCAAATTGCTTTACTTTGCCAAACTTCTGCAGGAGTTTGAGGAGGTGGTATCTGGAGAGACAAGACAACAGAGATATTTATACAGCACCTTCCACTGGAGGTTACAGGTGGGAAACAACAAGACAAAATGTAAAATGGTCATCACATCTCAAATTCTGCCACTCAGAAGCAAAACCTAGGGATAAAATTCTGGTTCAGGCAGATAAACGTTCATGTTCTCCACCAGCTTCCTTTTGAATGTAAACCTAAATGTTAGGCGCACACAGATTTAGCAGTGTTATCACGGGGTTTTGTTAAGCAAATACAGAATCCAAGCACGCAGTATAAGAACTCCCATCTGGCCAATCTGCTTAGCAGTTTGGTGTGCCACACACATAAAATAAGATGACTGCTCCTTAGCTGTTCCTTTAGTCTGGGTAAAGCTAGTTCTACATGATCTCCCTACCTCTGCTGAATCCCTCCATTACAGCACAGGATGGTATCAGCTGATCTGAAGGGAAACCTCAAAAACCTCTTACCTGACTGGAGTTCCTCTGCAACGAGAGGTGCTGTTTAGGGATTGAGCTGAGATGCCCGAGTTCTTGTGCTGCAACCTACTTGGTGTACAGAGTTTGGAGTTCCTTTCTGTGCCTGTTTCATCTGGGAAGAACGCTCACCTCTCTGCCTCAGGGGGGCTCAGGCAGTTTCTGCAGTGCACTTTCAGATTCTTCACTGAAAAGCATGAAGAACCCTAAATGCACTTACTAAGACAGCACGTGCATGAACTCAGAAGTTCAGTAGTTGACTCAGACCTCCAGTGTGTCAAGGATCTTCAGGAAGGTGAGAGACTGGCAAGTGCACACAGCCCTTTATTTTTCTTAAAGGAAGTCTGCAAAGATGTTTGAAGCTTCAGCAGATGAGCAAGAGTTCCAGGAATGCGAGTCATCTACCAAGAGGGGTCAGCGGACATTCAGGATGTGCACTCAAAGAGGTGAAGAGGCAACACATTTTCAGGCCAGCAGTGGATACAGGCCAGGCTGCTTTGTGCTAGAACGAGCAGATGGTAATCGATTGCCAGAAAAGTCATCTTACACCCCTTCAGGGGCAGGAGGGGGACAGGGAAAGAAATACTGAAGTGATATTTCCTAAGCCACTTTCTTCTGAGGGACCTGAGAACATCCTACCTGTGCTCAGTGGAACAAAACTACAAACAAGGACGTATTTTTAAAATACCAAAATATTTAAACCTTTGAAAATTGCACTTGGGATATACTCAATTCATGAAGACACTGAAGTCACTTCTTGAACCCTCTGGACCTAGGAAATGGAAGTTCCAGAGCCTCTAAAATACATCTGATAGAGCCTCAGTTTATTTCTAAGACAATGTCACACACTTTAGTAGCCACTTCAGCAGCATGAAAATAAAAACTGTGAATACTCTAGCACTATCTTTTGTCTTTGGCTTATATTGATTTGAACTAGGGGAAAACACTGTTTCTCTGTGTAACAAAAGCCATATGCATCTACCTTGCCAAGAACACATCTTGGTTTTGTCTTCCCTTTGAAATTCCCCTCAGCCAAATAGTAACTATTTATTTCTATTTTCCTGGCAGAATAGGAGTCGGTAAATATCTTAAAAATACTGTAATCAGGAAGAGATCCCCAGCTGATTATATAAAGGACATCTTTGACCAGGACACCCTTTATCCTCAAACCACTCTTAGCCCCATTTCTAGGACTACGGGGTAGAACTCCTGCTCTCGACAGAAGGCTAGAATTGCAGTCTTGCAAGGGTCAAACAGCACTGTTAATAAGAGCATGTGCCAAGTCTGCTGTTTCTTCCTAGTTGAGCTCAGGAGATTTGACAAGTGATTCCACAAGCCAAGTCAGAGAAGAACAAAAGGGGAAACTCTCTCTCAAAAGCAGGGAGTGACTGAGGAAGACCCCACGTTCATAAGCTTTCCTAGATCAGCAATCTGGGTTTCATGGTGTCCTGAGCCACTCACAGAGATGTGGCCCCCGCAGGTTGCTCCAGCCAGCCTCAGTTTCCACTTCCTGTCATCTGATGTGAATGTGAGACAAACCAGGAGCTCTCCCATTTCCTTTTCCTCCAGCCTTCCTCCTGGCACCCTGAGTGCTATTCAAACACATTCAAGGCTTCCTCTAAACAATGCTATCCCAAGGATACTGAAAAGGTACCGGGCCACATGCTAAACCTATTATTACTGGGAACTGTGCTCCATTGGGAGCTAGTAAAATGCCTAACAACTTATGCGCATATTGTTTTCTAGGTAAAACTCATCAAGATGGGATCCGAGACAAACAGCAGCACATGTGAAGGAAGACAAATGTGCAGCACTTCATCCTGTGGAGGCTGCATGGAGATCCAACGAGCACCACTGAGAGCAGAGGTTAACTTAGGTGCCGTCGTGTAACAAACTTCAACACAGTAAACAAGAGCGCTCACATTCCCAGAACATCCTCCAGTGGAAGAATTCACATAGTAAGCTGCTCACCAACTGAGAAAAAGGCAGCTGCTACACCCATTTTATGGACGAGCAAGCTGAGGCACAGCTAAATGATGTGACCCGTCAAGGCAAGTCAGGGGCAGAGAAACAGAACCCAAAATCCTAACATCTGGTCTCCCATCCTGCAACACGGGGCCTAAAATTGTGGTCTTGTGGTCTCCAAAACACCCGCCATTAGTCACGGGCAGCTGGCTGGTGTCACGGTGCTGGCACATCGCATCTCCAGGTTTTAGAAACCTAAAAATACATGAGACATCTTTTCTAGCGGTATTCTTCTTGCGCAAGAACAATCGCTGTAGTTGCCACGGGAACATTACACAGCAACTACCGCCGAGAAGTCTTCCGTGCAGGCGTGACGGGGCAGGAAAGCGTCCGAAACGATCTCACGGCAGAGCAGTGGCACATGCCGCTGTGTTGGACCGCGCACGGCGTCCCGAGAACTGCTCTGCTACGCAACAGTGGGAAGCCCAGTATTGTTTCGCTCACAAAGTCGCGACATGCACCACTGGTGCTCCGACACGCTCGTTTCCCGCGAGCTTGATGGCGCCTGGCCGCAGGCTGCTGGCTTTGAGCACCTCCATCCACAGCTACTGCGGCGCCGCTTGAGGGAATCGCACACACGGGTCACCCGGCGGCTCAGCATTGTCGGTTTTGACTGCACTACCATCCTCACCGGCCCACGCACCATGTACAGCGCCAACGCAGATGGCCGCTATCCTTTCTCCTTTGGACACGTGTGGAGAACTGGACCTTTCCTAAACTAACCTCGGGGACTCCCGCAGGCTTTCAATGCAGAGCGAAAGGAACGGAAACAAGCGCACACGATTCATCCACGGTGTTGAATGAGACGCCAGAGCATCTCAAGTTACCCGGCTCCTCCTCCTCCCGCCGCCCCAACCCCCCAAGGCCTGGAGGAGGCCGCGCCGCGCCGCCCGTACTGAACGCGGGGGGGGCACACAAAAAGAGCCGAGGGGGGAAGTGACCCCCCCCGCCCCGGGCCCGCAGGGGGAAGTGACCCCCCCGCCCCGGGCCTGCACGCACTCGGTGATCTTGGGGTCGAGGTTGCCGATCCAGAGGCGGTGGCCGTCCTGCAGCGCGCCCTCCGATAG